GATCAAAATTTATATTGGTCACAGATCATCAACCTTGTTGGACATATTAGGTCCCAAAGCACAATTTCCTTCATTAGTTGCAGCCAGATTACAATGCTGGGCGATCAAAGTGTCTGCGTATACACTTATGACGGAGTGCCTCTCCACCGAGCAAATGGGTAACGCTAATATTGCTCATTCTACTCTATATTACTTGTTGATCCACAAGCGGATGAATTCACTCCAAGTGTCCTACTTTTGCAACTAACCTGTTACAGCAAAGGCCATTGCTTAAGACTCAACAAAACCCAGTGTTATCTCAGGTTTACCAAGAATTATGTCTGGTCGAAAATTACTCTCCAATCAATAAGAGTATTTGGTCTGATCTGTCAACTGAACAAGGTGGTGTGATGCGTGGTGCCCGAGTGGTGATCCCCTCTTCCTTGAGAGGAACTAAAACATGTGAGTATTCCCTCAAAAGCTTCATATAAATAAGCAGTGATAAAAATCAACAAATGGGATGAAAGGTTAACAAGTAACCTTAGGAAGAAATCCCCTGCTACTTTATTCAAAGGTTCCATGTTTCATTTCTTTACAAAACTGATGAGAAACTCGGTGTTCAGTTAAATCACACCAACCCAAAATATTAGTAATTCAAGTTGCTTACCTCTACTACACGCCAGTTTGTCACTGCCATAATCTGGGTCATCACTGATGAGATCACGATATTTCTGACAGCCTTGCACACAAGCGTTCTCTATGGTGCCCTGCAATCAGAAGAATCAGTTATAACATGAACTGAATATCAACTATCAAAATCTGACAAAGACCAAAGGTTTATGTAATGTTCTGATTACTGAAATGAAGTACCGGCTAGTAATTAGGATTAAATAAAACTGGCAAAAGTACTAAACCATGATATTGGATCTGGATGAAATTCACACTCCTACCCTTGATGGTTTTAGGAAAGGTTAACAGACCTTTATCCACTCCCCAATAACCCCTCCAACAGCTTCTACCATATCAATTATTACACACCGCAATGGAGAGCGGAAGTATCGTGAATGATGGAGGGAAACGTCAGGAAAGTATCATATTAAATGTTTCGGTTCTAGGTTGTTTATGAGGGAAACGTCGCTGAAGAAAAGTGTCTTTGAATTGCCTAAACTATTGTTTGCAAAGAAAAAATCACGAGTTTCGGTTGGTGGGAAATGCAATAATAGCTTAGAATTTTTCAAGTAGTTTTTTGATTTTCAACTTACGATACGTCGGCTATGGGTAAAATGCAATAAAGGTCTCATAGAGAAAAATCGACTTGTTTTTGTCTGACATTATTAAATCAAACTGAACCCCGCCTTTTCTCGCCACCGTTTAGAATTGTCTTCTGGTTTTCTGATTTTCAGCTCCCAATATCTCGGTTATGAGTAGACCGCCACAAGTTTCATAGATGAAAATCGTCTTGTTTTTGTCTGAACATATCATTGGCAATAAAAAATCCCATATCGCATTATGTCCTCTACTATATATTGACCGCTAAAAATAGGTTGGTAGAATTTTACAAACATACAAGGGGCGGATCCAGGGAGTCCGCCCCCGGTATCATCAGAAAATTCCAATACTTTTTCTTTAATGCAGTATTGTACTCAGGCGCTTCTGTACAGTAAAAAGTAATTACTATTGACCTCATAATATATCCTAATATCAAGTGCACATGGCCTCAAAATGCCCATGATATTGATAAGATTTTTAAAAAATTGCCCCCCCCAAAAAGAAATAAAATAAAAAATAAATTGTGGGCTCATTGTGCTCGCCATGTTCCCCCACCCACAACTTTTTGGACCCCCTTTTGATATTCTTGGATCCGCCCCTGATATATAATTAATCGATAATTGCTAACATTACCCAAGAGGACCCACGGATTTATCTTTCCCCAGGGCCCTGGCCAGCTCTCGGCGGCCAAGCTGCATTTTCAGTTAACCTCTCACTTCATCTCACTGAACAGCGAGGCGTCCTGGGGTCCGGACCCCCCTTTTCATCAGAAAATTTCAATACATTTTCTTTAGTGCAGTAGTGTATAAACTCAGACATTTTTGTATAGTAAAAATTACTATTGACCTCAGAATATCTCCTAATATCAAGTGCACATGGCTTTAAGATGGCCTCAAAATACTCATGATATTGGTCATTAAAAGAAAAAACTGGAGGGCTTACAACAACCCCCTCCCCCCAAAAACTAAAGGTGGGTGGGCTCGCTATGTTCCCCCACCCACAATTTCTTGGACCCCCCTTTTGATATTCCTGGATCCGCCCCTGTACAGTGAACTTAAGGCAATAATAACTTAGTGAACATAAGACAACAGTAACTTATAGTAAACATTATAGTAACTTACAGTAAACATTATAACATAAGTATAATAACACAACAAACACAATAAGAGTACAGTATATTCATAACTCACGTCAGCAAACAATTTCCCACAAAACAGTCGACAAGCCTCAAGTTCACCGAAGTCTTCACTTGGTCTACCACCTTGTGCCTTATTGAAGGTCTCTGGTGGCACCCCAGTTGTAGCCAGGAAAAAGAGCACATAGACCCACATGGTTCAGGTTAAAAATGTCCACCACAAGAGTCCCTCCAAACCTTCAACATGACGCCTGGCCAAGTATTCCTCCGCCTCCAACAGTCGCCTTAAAGCTGAAATAATACCAATTCCCTATAGCCTACTATTTCTCTATTTCACATGCAGTCATCTAATAATATTTTATGTCATCAGAATTTCTTATTTGTCTTTGGTTATTCGTCTTTATGTGATGAGATACAGGAACTAGTTTTTTTTTACTTTTACTTTTATCCTCTTTGCCCAAATTAATTCTCTGAACTCTTTTAAATAGTTTTATTTCCGGCGATTAACTTTAAAAACAATTTTCAACTATATTACCATATACTGATATTGTTCACCCAAAGGGCAGGCAAGAGCTATAAACCAAATTATTGCTTCACTTTCATTTGTCTGTTACGTTTCAGTTTTCAAAATGTTTCTTGGCGCTGAAATTGTCACCAAGACAGTATTTTTTTTAGTTCATTAATAACGCTCAAGGGAGGGCAACTCATCAGAAGACAAGCATAAACCAAGACAGCATTTATATTATGTCTCATTTACTATAAAAAGACTATTTAACGAAAATAAGTAGTCGTAACTGAAGACAAAAGTCTCCTGTACTAAACTAAACGCTTCAAGGCATCAAATATTAAGCTAGGATTCCATTCCTGCGTTTACGGTGCGTTTGCGTTTTCAATGCTACAGGGGAACGATTGGTGTCTACTGCAAACGCATAACGCTAGCAACCGTGTCAATGGAAACAACTGTGTACATTTCAATGTGATCAATTTTTGGCGCTAACGCTAACACAACCGCTAACACGTAATGGAATCCTAGCTTTAGTTTAATATTTCTCAAATATGTATCTATAAATTGATGCGGTCAAACGACTTCTAATATTAACATAAAACAGCTTAAAATAAGACATCAGTATGCAAGTTCATCCACCTAATGACGGAAAATAATAAACCCATATAAATACACAGCAAATAACTATAATTTCATTTCTATCATTAGGCCAATTGGAATCCTTCCTTCCTCATCAGCAGTTAACTGGTCAAATATGCCGGAATTTTTCATTTTATGGTAGAATCACAACAAATAGAGGATGGATTTCATTATATGTAGAAATATAAATGATTGGTATCCAGGATGAAAATCAAAGGGAACACTTAAAATATGGCCACTTTTTTTTAAGATGGCTACCAAGCGTAACACAACCACACACGTTCAAAAAATTGTCTGAGCCAACTTTTTCGGAGTAAGGGTTAATTGATAATGTGAACTCTTGAAACAGTCTGCCAGCAGGCGCCGAGTGTGAGCTCATTCAAGGCAAGACTTGACCAACACTGTAGCGGGTTCAGGTACATTCAGGAGCCGGTGCATACCCAGTACTTGCCAACAGTGCGTGACAGAGACGTGACCGATCGCCCAAGCGGCTAACGAGCTGATCAGTGGTGAAGAGGATAAAAGTAAATTAAAATTTATATTTTTTATCCGATTCGAAACTGGCACTCATATCACATGATTCCTTTATTATTTGAAAATTCTTTATCTTTACCATTGTCTATTGCATTGTAAAAAGTCAAAGTATCGGTTGGATGCTTTCTACGGTATGTGTAATATGTGACGATGGTAACAAAAAAAATGGAGGGGAAGAGGAAATTAAAGCCCCTACTTTATGTAACATTTCTGTATAATCTTGACTTATCAATACGAAAGAGTGTTTTTTTACTTTTCACAGACTCGCGGGAAAATACAAGGACAACTTGCAGAGGGAAGCTCAGCAGGGGGCGGGCCGGCCACGAGCACTCTGATTGTTGATTGACTCTCCCCACGCCCCCGCTACACCCCACCCCCGCTACACCCCACCGCCCCCCACAACACACCACACACCCCACACGCCCCTTCACACTCCCACGCCCCTTCACCCCACGCCCCCTTCACCCCCTACCATACCCCCCACGCCCCGCTTACCCCCACGCTACACCCCCCATGCCCCCGCTACACCCCCACGCCCCCAACACCCCCTCCACGTCCCTAATACCCACGGAAAATTCTGTATCTAAAATGATAGGAAATAGAAATGAGAAATATTTTCGAAGTCAAATAAAGTAACTTTCGATAGTTTTACGTAGAATGATTTGTATTCTTTATCTGGATATCTCTTGCATACAATACACTTGCATGATGCTGATTTTCTTATAATTCCATTTATAAAAGAATGTCATTGGTGAGTCAACAATAAACGTAACCTTGGTAATCATTATTAAAGTTTTGAGCTTGTATCTCGTATGTACATCAATGACGAAATTTTACTATATTAAAAATAGTTGTAAAAGCACACCAAAATACTGATATTAAATAAAACAACGCATAAAAACAATAAAATAGAACTACGAATCAGTAATGATAAACCTTTGATATACTGTATATATGGTGTGTAGCCCCTGAGGATAAAGCTAAGTCGTGTTATTTCCTGTATCAGTTATGGCGTTTTGAGTAACTTGTGCACGTTAACATCCCTCATAATGGCTCGCCGAAAAGATTCAAGAATTGTAAAGATTCGAACTGAAGAAAATGATCTTGATAATCAATTGCGAGGTAAGTTCATACTGTGGCATGACTGAAATTGACAAAGAAATGTTGAATAAACCGCCACAGGCACACTCCAACTTTGAGAAGAACGTATGATTAACAAAAATGTTTGTTCCTGTTGGCCTTTTACATTTTTTTCACGGTTTGGTAAAGGAAAATATTCGCCCATTGGCTGTCCTCAGGTTTTGATACGAGAATAGGTTTTTTGGTGTTTTACTCAACTCTGACCTTCATTTCTTATGCAAATTAGCGCTTTTTTGCAAAAAAAAATATTTTTTGTCATTGTAACAGAAATCCCTAGTTTGCACAAAAATGGAGGTCAGATATGAGTAAAACATACACCCCAAAAAAACCTAACCTAACCTGGTAAATTTACAGTTTCAGCCACGACAACTGTTTGACCATAGATTTTTGTTTTTCCCTTGGTATTTGGTGTGATTCATTCGAATTTGACTTAAATTTCTGTCGGAAATGAGTCGTTTTGGAGTTATCACGCCCTCATAGAACCTGACCTAACCAACCAAAGAATTATACCTAACCTAACCATACCTCCTAGCCTTCTCTGGGCGCTGGACAACTCGTACCCAATTTACGAGACAGTTCGTACCCCCCCACACTCACTCACACACACACACACACATATATATATATATATATATATATATATATATATATATATATATATATATATATATATATATATATATATATATATATATATATATATATATATATATATATATATCATCATGTAGATCCACAATGGAAATGTGGACAAGGTTTATTTTAATATATGAATTGCGTGAATATTGGATGACACATAATCAAGTCGTTACGTTACTCATACTCAAGTCGTTATACCGGAAGAAGTACCAGAGAGGAGCCCCGAATTATATACTGTATACTAACTGGTTCATTTACAAAATGCCCGAGCTGGAAAATCAGTGTTTTTATGCATGTCTATATTTTGTTGACTTATGACCATTTTAAACGTTTACATCGCCCAGTACTATATAAATTGAAACTGCCAAATCTGTAACTTACAATAAAGTTATTCTAAACCACAGTGTGAAATTTGTATACAGTACTTGTAGTGCAATGTTTGTGTGACGGAACAACTTACTTATGTAATGAGATGCAACCATTTTAAAGCCTGCATTACATTTCCCTATTTCACTGCACTTTCCTACAAGATTTGCATACGGTAATCTTTTTTCGTGATCATAGATAAAGCTAAAATGCGTGGTGTATATACTAATAAGTAGGGATTATCTCTTGAATTGGGTGTAAGTAATCTTGGGTACGACTTATCTCGTGAGTTGGGGACGAGTTGACTTTTTTGGGTATGAGATGACCCTAACCCACCGTCTCCACCATATTAAACAGAAAGTACGGTACTTATTTTGATGGTAAATGTTTACTTTCGGACATGAGTCCCTAGGGGTTGACCAATATGTTTTTCCATAATTAACTCGCTTTCACGACTATAACATCTCCTCACATAGGCGAAGACTGAAAAGTACATAAAATCAATTAAATTCAGTTGTCGCTATTATCCATTTCTGCCATGTATATATTGGGTTCAAAATGCTCGGAATAGGGAGATCGAAATGTTTTAGTAGTTTATAACTTTGGGGCGCGCTATGTCCGAAAGTAAAATACATGTAATACCATTTTGATATCTGGTTCTAATGAAAGCAGTTTTGTTGAAGCTTCATGGTGTAATTTTATATTTTTTGTGGATGTGAAAGTTTGCTCAGACCGAGCGGTCAGTTGTAAACAAACAGCCAACATGCGATGACTGCAGATTTACAATACTTTCTTTCATGAATTTACTATCTCGGTTAATATCCATTTGCGACAGAACTAATATAAGAAAAGGTTGTTCCTATTGACGAGATATAACTAATGGTAAACACAAAATTGCTCAAACCACGTTGGGGCTGACCTAACCTAACCTACAATATATACAACCTAGCCCATTCTTTTTTTTAGTTTACCTGCTTCTGTGGTGGAGCATACAGCTGGGCGATCTAGAGAAGGAAGTGGTGGGGGATGGTAATTTCTGTCTTTTTCTTAAAACTAAACAATTTCCACACTTAGGACACAGTCTTGATGTTGGTAGGACACCGTCATCTTGTAATATTTGGATTGCTTCACTGTCGTTCTTATAAACTCGCTGAATAACAGTTAGATATGGGAGAGGGATACACCCAATTTCGTCACCAACCCAGTTCGTCACCAATATCAAATCCGTTTCGTCACCATGAACAGTCACTGGTATTAGAGTGATAAATTGTAATTTATTATTTTAAACAAATAGAAATTACACATGTGTACAGAAGACTTGAGAATTATTGTGTTATTACTGTACAGTACTGTATTATACATGAATATTAATTATTTAATCATGAAAATGATTAAAACATTGGTAAATAAACAAAATACAGAACAAATGAGGCCCCCCGCATTGTATGGGATATTCGCGCCAAAATTGGAAATCGAGAAAGCCGCCTTTAAAGTTTGTCCAAATTCTAACAAGTATAACTTTGTTGTGTTTTTAGATACAGCATTCATTTTTTATTCATTTTGAGGCTAAAGGACTGTAATTACAGATAGTAGGTCGCTCGTCATGAAGTAATGTATACTGGGTTGTTGCAATGTTGACTTGAAGCAACAAAACTCCCACCCGCTTATGGCTTTTTTTACTTTAATCGATATCAGAGTGTAGATCCCGCCACAAAAAAGGAGAACTGAGGGAGAAGGAGAGAGGGATTCCACCTCATTAGCTGGAGGGGCCGTGACATAGATAGTCGCCACTGTTATTGGTTGAGATGGGGGATGAGGCTGTAGGCTGGCTGCTGTGATTGGCCGCCCACTCCTCTCACTCACTCACTGACAGGAAGAGAGGACCTTACGACGCGAAAGCCAAGCCCATAATTTCCTGTCTGCCACAAATCGATGTTCTACATATTTTCAAAGGGCTTTCAACCTTATTTACAGTATAGTGAGGAAATCTTATCAACTACCATCGTATTGAGCAAGACTGAAAATAATGCTTTCCAACAAAAAACAGGTTTCACCCGGATGATCTGAATGCACCTTACGATACGTGACGCTTCAAATGAAGGTGATTTCTTCTTCTTCTTCATTGATTTGCAATTACAACTAGTTGCTGAGCACAAGCTAAAATCATGCACAAGAAAAGCAAATCATGACAAACAAGTCCGTCTCTGGAAGCTTTGAAATGAATATGAAGAAAAAATATCACCACTTCTAATTTCCTGAAGAAATATTAGTGGCCTCTTCCAAGCTTGCATGAGTAATAACAATGTTTTTATTTTTTTTAAATTTTAGTCTTTCACATTTTGTTTAAGTGAGATGATTGCAGGTGTATTAACAATGTTTTTATTTTTGTTTCGTTTGTCTTTAATAAATTGTTTAAGTGAGATGCTTGCATGATCCAATGTATTGTTATGCCGAGCCATAATTTTGTAATACAATTTTGTAAACTAGGTGTTTTGATTATTTTCTATCCCTAGCTACAGTTATTTTGGCAAATATGTAAAATTTTTGTGTATACGTATATTGATGTATTAATTATGTAAGAATTTTCTGGAATGTGTTGTCCTTGGAATGGTGATGGAAATGAATGCGGTGAAGAAATGGGTTAAAACAGTGGTGAAGAACTGGGTAAAAAATGTGGCGACGAAATGGGCACACCCCTGGGAGAGAACACTTATCACACGCCATCACGAAAGCCTTCAAAATTTCAAAGTGCGTGGTAGAAGACTAGCTAAAAATGATTGGCTAGCCAAGTTGCATGACGTGATACTTGGTCATTGGTTGTCATGTCACAAAGAGGAGGAGGAGACAAGTGACTGGCAACATGGCGGGTACAGAAATTTATACCTCGAAGTTTGTGAGATACTCCGTTAATATTGATGTGCACAAGAAATGATAAGAAGTCGTGCATTTGTTTTTTCTAGTCTTTGTGTCTGTAATATTGAAAATTGGAAACCTGCGGACAGCCAATGAACGAATATTAACCCACGGTTGTAACTGTCACCAAGCAATGATAGACAAGTCAAACAAGACCTTGTGGTAATGAATGACATTACTGTTGGACAGCAAATTGTCATCATTGCCAAGTTGTCTAATCAGCAAATTTCATCATTTATTGCAAAATGGATTTATTTTTTCTTCTGTACCACTAGTCTTGTGCACATGGGTCTGAAATTCTGGCTGTCATTTTAACCTGTAATTATTTACGACTTCACAGCTGCTGATTTTTCATAGAAAACGAATTTAAAATGTAGTGGATATTTTGCCATGACTGGCTAAGTTCCTACTAACACTATTTGATTAATATTGACAACTGACCTGCCAATGAATTATTTGTTTTGGTGTTTACTTTCTTACTCTATTTTCATCAGTGAGTGCTGATATGATGATAATTTCTTGTGCAACTGCTTCGTTTGGTCGATATTCAGGTGCCTAAGGTGCACACTACTTTGTACTCTTATTACTCTGTTTAACATCACCTTATTTACAGTCCAGTACAATACCTATTTACATTATTTCTTATGTTTGGGATATATATTATTGTTGTTTTGTAACCTAACCTAAACTATGGAATTTAACACTTCTGGCTTACAAACAGATCGACTTACGATCAAGGGTCCAGGAACATAACCTGTTCATAACTCGGGGACTGTCTGTACTGTGCTCTCATTTGTTCACCATTCATGCTTCTTGGTATAGTAAACTATACATCTGCAACTATTATTTATACATTATTAGGAACTCACTAATACAGGGTGTCCATAAAGTCCCATTCTGATTTCAAACATGTGCAAACGGCATGAGATATTGAAATGCAGTTTTTTGCATTTGCTTATGTGAAAAACAAAACTTGAATAGTTATTCTTTCAAAAGCAAAAAACTGCATTTCAATATCTCATGCCGTTTGCACATGTTTGAAATCAGAATGGGATTTTATGGACACCCTGTATTTTCTTCAAGCAAATTTTAATAAAAAACTATTACTGTATATGTTTGACAAATTACTACTGTATTTTGAATGGAAGCCCATCAGATATTAAGATGTTTGGCTGTAAATCTACACCCTATACACTACATAACTGGAGTGTAATGTTAGTTATAGAAACAGTGTACAGTATAGTCTCGGTTTACGCGGTCAATTAAACCTGTGGAGGTCCGCGTAAAACGAGAAACGTGTAAACGAAATAACAGAACATATGGGATTAATTGAAATAGAGACTGGGCCGACCCCCAGACTACCCTTTTTCCAACACAGTACGTACGTTGTAGTAAAAATAACATCTTAATTTTATGATGGTATGCACACACAACTAATATTTAAGAGAAATATCAATAATACTGTATTAGGTTTTTTAACACTTACGTTAGTAGAAGAGATGGCTGGGCTCACGGGGATGGGGGGTTGGTTCCGTGGCAGAGGGCAGATTATTGGCCCTCACCTGTATCACTTGTATCACCTGTAGCACTATCCACCACAGAGGCTTTCTTTGTCGAACCCTCAAAGTCCATATCTCACTGTCACTGACTTGGGCCGGCTGTGGTGGGTGGCGAGTGAAGAACTCGGTAATGTTTTGGTGACTGGGCGACCTAGTGCGCACCCTGCCGTGCCACTTCCCGCATAAATGATGGAATGTACCACGTAACTAATAATTGCCGTTCTGGCCAGGTGCCGCGTGAATGACCAAGTGCGTAAAGGAAATCCGCGCAAATCGAGACTATACTGTACTGTACAGTCACTGCCAGCTTATGTAAATCAGACATAGTCTAAGCGCATTTAAAAAAAAATAAATATTGATACATTTCATAAATTCCCATTTTCAATACAAACCAGCTAGCTACCTGCCAGTTACTATAATATGATATTTAGCTGTAAAAATATAAACTACATACAGTGTAATAGTAACAGGACTTTGTTTTACACATGTAGTGTGAAGCCTTATGTAAGCTAACACACATTAATTCTGTAGTCCCTAATTTCATACCAAAGGAATGTAGCTCCCTTTATTACATTGCAGGTTGACAACCCTTTATCCGAAAACCGAAAGTTTTGTGGAGCAAAACTTTTTTTTTTTTTTTTGACGGGTATTAGCCCACTCGGGCACAGGTCACTGACCCACATCGGGGCCTTGGAGGCGAAAATTTAATAGTAATAATAATGATAATAATAATAATTATTCATAGTAAATAATTTTTTTAATAAAAAATACACAAAAATCAAATGATAAAAATAATAATAATAATAATAAAATAATAATAATAAAATAATAATAATAAAATTAATAATAATAACAATAATACTGTAATAATAAAATAATAATAATAAAGAAATACTGTACAAGAATGAAAAAAATATCAAAAGTGAGAAACACGACCTAGACCTATGAATTATTATTATTATTATATTTTAGCCTCCCAGGCCCCAATGTGGGTCAGTGACCTGTGCCCAGGTGGTCTGATCCCTGTAAAAAAAAAAAAAAACTAACCGTTCTGAAATCCGAAAAATTCCGAAATCCGAAATGCATCTGGCCCCAAGTATTTCGGATAAGAGGTTATCAACGTACTGTATTTCTTCTTTACAATACAAGACACGTATAGGTATTCCCCTTTTTCACTGCATGAATGACAGTGACGAATAGAACCTGTAACGTAACCTCCCCTATATCAGTTAATTCTTATGTTGAAAAATTCCACGCCATTAGTTGTTTCCATATCTTCCTTATTTTTAGGACTTAGCTAAACCCAATGCATAATGCTGTACTGACTGACTGTAGCAGGAAAGAGCCATTCCATAGTTGGTAAAATTCTACTTCAGGCTTTGTATGGTAACAGTGTACTGCACAGTACTGTAGTTCCTTCCTGCTAAAACTGGTTATAGCTCGGCGATGTTAGGCACTCCAGCATATAGAGCAAGAGAATGGCATCAGGTTGGCACTGTCCTATACAGTACAGTACTGTTCTTTTATTTGTGCCCCATATCTAAACTTTTTCATTGTGTAGAAGGGTGTAACAAAATGCTGTACAGGTATTACCTTTTAGTTGTCCCCTACAACTCTTTCGTTGATGACCGTAGTATTGCTGGTAGAAGGCTATCAAGAACAATGAAGGGATCCTACATAGGCCACTGACCTTCACATGGTATAACCACCTGTAGTTGGGTGACCATTAGGTAAATAAGGTAAAATGATAAGGGAAATAAAACAAAATGGTCTGAGTTCTTAGCTTCTTACTCTTCCTAGGGATAGGAATCAGAATTGGCAAGAATTGACACAGACAAGTGAGTGGGTTAAAAGTGTCACTAAATGAGTTTCTTTGATTAGGTTGAAACAGAGTACGTATGTTTTTTGTTTTTTTTTGTTTTTTAAATCATAAAGGCCCAATGATCATTTTATCTTGAATGGCAGCTTGCATAATCATCAGGAAACACTTTTCTTTCAGACTTGAAAGTTATGGTTTTCAGAATTAATCCAATATTTTTAATACATCTCTTAAGAAAGGAAATACATACATGTATATTTTTGCAGAGGCTGGCCTATTTGAAGATGGGATGGATTTTGATACAAAGAAAGCAATGTTGGCAATGTTGGAAGAGTCACGAAAGTCAGCTCAGGAGGAAGAGAATCAACGGCAGCAGTGGAAGGAACAAGAGGAAGAAATTCTTAAGGAAACTTTAAATAGATCCTTTAGAAATAACATTGAGGTAATGATAGGTAGAGAATTTATTTTCATGGTAGCAATACAAAGCAGATGTTTACCTTATCTTGTGATTATATACAGTAGACTCTCACAAACTTGGAGTGAGTCTGAAAAAGTGAATATTCCAAAAAATAGAGAGATTGAATAGTACTTGTACAAATGGTGGTTGAGCAAAGGTGAAAGAATTTTACTTGAGAAGTTCACTACATTTGCCACCATGATTTAATACCATATGCTTGATATTTTCAACTTTTACACTCAGACATTATGAATATTTGTCTTACAGCCTCAAGATCTGAAATAACCCATTCCAAAGCTTTGAATTCCATAATTGCAAGGGTTTACTGTATGATCACATTAGTCAATTTGGATTTTAGTAAGTTAATATGTGAAGCTTTTAAAAGATATAACTAGAAATACTGTACAGCATTGGCCATTGTCACCCATCAGCACTAGACTAAAGTTCAATGGCTCAGAGAAATTTCAAAGATGACTGAGTGGATCAAGTACCGAGGTACCTTACTCATACTGTACTGTGTCAAGAATCTCTCAACAACTTTGTAAGTTTAACCCCATGGTTCTGGTGGGCACTGGTCCAATACGTACTGTACTCCATAAATCAGGTATAACTAGGATCTTCAGGATCAACAGATTGTGCACTGTCATACAAAATGGATTTTTCACAGATTTTATTATTGGGAATTTGCTTTCATAAATTGAATACAGGTATTATATTGTACCACAATTTATACATTAATATATTGTAGAATTACATAAAGAGAGCTTCTGCAGATAAAAAGGGATAATTACATTACCTAGTCTTTTTCTCTTCTAATTTTTTTCTCATAGTTTTTAGCTTTTTTTTTTCTCCCCCCAGGCCCCGTTATGGGTCGATGACCTGTGCCCCGGTGATCTATTCTCCGTAAAAATAAAAATAAAACTGAAAAATTGGTCCACATTGGGGTAAATGGTGTGTTGGGCTTTATTTATGGTCGTACACTGTATTCTGTCTTATATTTAGGGCATCGGTGGGTCTATACATCACCTGATCAAATGATGTACAGTGCTCATGCAGAAAAATTTGTTTCTCTTGTTAGTTGCAATAACTTGCTATCCACTTAATTGAATCTTTGTAGGCTGACTTAAACGAAATTTAATTGAACAACTAAATTGATCACTAACTTTGCCACAAACACTCACTGATGATAGCTTTCTATAACCTATTAAATCCATTTTTTTGGTTAGCTTGACTTAATTTTAACTAAGTATAATTGTATAATCGCCCAATGAAGTGAGTTCACGATTTTCAATACAGTATGATTAATTTAAACAGCGGTATCTGGCAACTTGGCAGGAGCCCAGTAAGTGACTGACACTGACTAGTGAGCTGGATGCCATTGTAGTAAGATGGTATATTAACGAACTCCTTCAAGCTCGGGGACTTGCAGGAGAGTGGCACGCCTACCTGACATTAGCACAAAGTTCACTCACTTTTCACAATACTTTATCACAATAGTACAGGGTATATGAATAGTGTACATTATTCAGTAACCCATAAAACTCATAGCAATAACAGTGTTGCACAGCAGTTGGGACGATACACAGTGATCAATAATGTATGCAGTGATACACAGAAGACTGATCAAATGACAGACATGGGTGGGTATGTGGCACACAGGTAACGTAAACAATTAATGACAGTAGCGATGCGCACGTGTAGCACAAAATCCACTTTTTTCCGGCTTCCATCCTGAATTTTTTCCACCGAGTCGAAGATTACTAAACCAAAAATTGACGATTGTTAAATGAGAAAGGGTGTTAAAAACGGCTTAGTGAATGATTGTCGAGCGAGGGATACCTGTCTATAATGTGAGTAAAAATGAGTGACAATTGTCTGATCCACTATAGAATTTTAATCCCTTTAAATTTTTCTGTTTAGAATGGTTTACCAGAATCCACTATGTCAAAATTTTACCTCTCAGAAGCCGTAACCTTGCTGATCATAGTATTTACCGTCAGTTTATTAAGACTTCTTGTTATCCCTCTCACACATCATGACTCAAATAGTGTTAAATCATTTGGTAGCACTATTTGCCATGGGGGAGATGGTTCATACACTCTCTCTCTCTCTGGCTTGCTGGGGGTGAGACCTTTTTTATTTTATTTTTAGGCTGGGCTCTCTTGTTTATAGGTTTCATTATTTTTGTTGTTTCCTTACGAGTCGTTTTTCTTTGTTTTTTTATTATTATTATTTTTCCGTCAATTTTATTTTGGTTTAACCTTTTAGCATTAGTTATCTCCGGTGCTATATGACCTTGGCTGTTGTGGCGCTAACATCGTATTCGTAATCATTCATTCATGTAGTAATTCCCATCAGCCATTCCGGTAGGTCGCATTTGTCTCTTTATTTCCTCTCCCACTCTCCCTACCATTAGTCATAAAAATTCTAAAGCCATCATTGGTAAGCTAAAAAAAAAAATCCACTTCTAAAACTATACAGTATAATGCCTGGTAGGTTTGTGAGAAAATGTTCGAGATATGATGCTGAGAATCTTATCTTTTTTTTTTACTTTAGTCGGAGTGAAAAAAAATATACTGTACCCTGTACTCTTGTTCTCTTCTTAATTTTTTTTCTTCTAATGTTAAAACCAAAATAATGAAGTCAGCGATGTCTAAATCATGCCAAAAAATAAAAAAGTGGGATAAATAAGCCACAGAACTAAGATGACCAGATTGCATGTGAGTGATCCTGCATGACTTTTGTTGTGTAAGAGGGTTAATATGATTGATTTCTAATGATTTTTTTTTTTTTTCAGGAGAGTCATCAAGGTGAGATTATTTCTGGTGAGGAGCATGAGAGTGATGAAAACTCACGGGACTCTGATGTAGTTGCCCTTCCCCTTGAAGATGTAGCTGACACACATTGCCTCTCAGATAGTGGTTCTTTTACTCTTGAATTGGATCCTCTCCGCACAGGGTCACCAGAGCAGGTGGTTCCAAGTACGTCTCCCTCTTTCACTTGTTCTTTAAGTAGCTCACAACCAGGTGCAGCTTGCAACCAACCTTCAAAAGATAAAACAAGATGGTCACAATCCCAACCCCATAACTCAGAAGACTTGTTCTGTGATTCACAAAGTTTAGACAATTCAAAAGGATCAAACAGAAGTTCTAGAAGGAGCTTTCCACCTATTGATAAGGTAAAAGACAATAAGATTCATGAAAAAGAGAAAAACAAAGATGTAGTGGTTGTTTCCAGCCAGGTAACTGTTGATGTTGAAGAACAAGCCTCCAGTAGTATAACAAGCAGTGATAAGAAGAATGGAGGATTTTTACCAAATAAACACCAGTCTATAGAGCCTAAAAGACCACTAAGGAGATCATCCAGTGTAGAAATAGTTCCATCACCAAGTGCTAAATATGAAGACAGTAGCAAGGTACAACACTCTCAATCTCTCTCAAGTAGTGACAGCAGAAACAGCGTGGGAGAGGAATTTGAGGATGAAGATGGGGTACAGTTATTAACTCCAGTAATTCGTCAAAGAAAAATATTGGAAAGTATAAAATTATCTAATAGTACAAGTGAAAAGATGACAAGTGTTCAAGATGCAAAAGTCTCAAATTCTTTTGAAGTTGAAGCTGTCCAGCAGACAATGGAGGCAACAATTGTTGGTGATGATGATGATGATGATGATGATGATGATGATGATGATGATGATTTTATACTTCCCACCCCAAATGCATGCCAGAGTAGTGATGCCAAATTTGAACAACTGAGGCTACATTCTTCATTACCACGTAACTCAGTATCCATTGAATCTCAGAACATGTTACAAGATCATAAAAGGTCGGAGAAAGAAAGTTCAGTGAGGGATGATAATGTGGTGCTACCTAGAGTACCCCAGAGGCCTAATAGTTCACTTACAAATAACATCAGTAAACTTGATAATGAAGAGAAAATAAATATATTCACAAATTTGGAACCGTCAGACAGTGAAGAAAATCATAGCTTTAACATAAAAAATGACAGAAAAAGAAATGTAAATGTTTTTCTCTGTAATGATACACCCACTATACCTCTCAAGAGGAGGAGATTAGGAAAGACAGAGAAGCCATCAAAAGCTTACTTTAAGAACACTAAAGAGTCACCACTAGATTGTGCTTCAAGAATTTTGAATATGATTGATGATATGATGAAAAGAATAGTGGAACATCAAGCAAAAACTATGTTGTATAAACTAAAGTGGTCAGCCCCTCTTACGGTAGATAAAAGGTTGAGGAACGGCATTGAGCGTTCAAAAGTGCAAACGAGAAGACACATAGCAGAATTGGATATGGATTATGAGTATATTCCTGTACAGAGAACTTTTAGAAATTCTCACAAAGTAGCTGACTCTTATGAAGTGGAATCTCATGCATCAGAAGACTCTCTACCTGACGTTAACCTGGATGATAGAGGTTGGATTGATGTTAAAGAAAAGAGAAGAGGAAGAAAGAGGGGGCTGCATCTTGGTCCTAATCGCTGCCAAAGAAAATTTCCAGCTTTACAAAAGGGGAAAGAAAATGTCTTAAGCAATAACCAAGATGAAGAGAAAAATATTTTGTATGATTCAGATGATACAGATGATTTTGAATTATTTCCACCCAAATCTTCACTACAAAACAAATCTTTGTGTGGTCAGATCGAGGCAGAAAGATCTTCACCCCACAAACAGGACACACACATGGATTGTACTGAAGTTTCATCCTCAAAGATGTGTGATGTTGCTGTAGAGAAAAATGACAGAGCAGCTAGTGAGACAGAGACTATCCAAGTAGATAGTCAGATGTCTGATGAGGAAGGTTTGACTGATTTAGAAAAAGGAGATTCACCATGTAAGAAGAGGCAAAAGGTTGAATCATCAAAACTATCGGAAGAAATCATAGAAAAGAGACCATGTAAGCGGCCATTGAGAAAATCATTTTTGCTGGTTTCAGATAACAAAAACAAAGAGCATAAAAGTTTTGATGTTGCTGAGCCCAGCACTTCAACAGTTCAGGATATTAGTACATCAAGGCAATCAGACCCCACAACTACTGTACAGTCTACCAATGAAGAGTTGCTACTCCATAATATGAATCACCTTAGCAAAGCAGGGGCCAATGCTGAAAATTGTGTGAACCCAGCTGCTAAAATTGATACTTCAGGGAAAAAATCGAATGCCCAAAGTTTTGTCAGTTCTTCTGTAAGAGAGGTGGATAATGAATTAAAAGTTAGACCTAGCAGTAGTGCTGACATTTGTATTGTTGAAGACAGCATCAACTTGCCTAGTACTAGTGGTATCAGCACAGCCAGGTTTTTCAACAAAGAGTCTGGAAGAGACAAAGTTATTCAACACCACATACGCCCTGGACCTCTTAGACTGAAGAAAAATTTTTCAAGAAAAAAAGGTGGGCATTGTTTTGCTTTAAGTAGAATAAAGGAATACAGTACAGTACTCTATGTCAATATCTCTGTTATCAGTTTCCTGGGATTATTTTCAAGGGAGCTGACATGGGATTAGTTAATGGCTTATCTTTCATGATGGGGTCTTTGTAGATATAGTATCTAACAGCCTTGTATTTTTGTTGCTATCTAACTTCTCATAACTTGAAAGTATAAGTTAATCACTACACGGTGGACATGGTGTACTAAGAATTTGTTGAACCTGGAGATGTTCGGGGTACTTGGTTCTAACTACAGGAGCGAACATAAACACCTGTAGAGTTCTGTAGGTTCTTATTAATGGAAATATACAGGGGTGCGCTTACAAGCGCAGGTAGTCCTTACACTCCTATAGGGTCAACTGACCTCACTCTGACCTCTTGGGCGACATGTGGTAAGTGGTATACTAGCAGCTTCCAGATGTCACCAGGCACATTTATCTAAGCGTGTGGTGACATGAAATAGGGGCATTGCCACACGCTACTGACTAGAGAAATAATGTGTATATATAGAGTACACACATGGTATACATACAACATACATAATATACATACACCTCCCCCCTTATTTACTCATAGCCAAGTCTTGAGCGGACCTTTTCCTGTGGATCCTTTCTGAGCGTCGAGGGGCTTGATCACTGGGGGGGGTATGGGACTCAGCAGTGGTAATGGGGTCAGCGGAAGGTGTTACGGGGCGGAGAAAACGGCGGTTCCTCCACCACACACGACCACTGGGTAACCGCACCTGGTAGTCCCGTGACCTGCCGAGACCCATGACTACGCCCACTTTGTCCCAACGTAGGGAGGTCGGGTCCTGAACACGGACTTGGGTGCCGACTTTCAACCTGGGGAGAGGACAGGCGTGGTAGTTGTAGCGGGCGACGACGTCTTGAACACGTTCAGCAGCTCGGCAATCACAATCCTCTGTCTTGGCCTGCCACACCTTGGAGAAGGACTGAGGGTGAGCAGAGACACAAGAACGGAGGGGGCGTCCATACAAGACCTGGGCAGGGGAGTGTCCTGTGTAATTGGGTGTGTTGCGGAGCTCAAGGAGACCCCGGTCGAAGGCCTCACAGTCAATATTCCCAGAAGGGGCCACTTTGAGGATGAGGTGCTTCAAGGATTTGACAGCAGCCTCAGCATGGCCGTTGGACTGCGGGTAATGGGGCGATATCAATGCATGCCGGACTCCCCAACGGTCGAGGAATGCAGCAAAGTCCCGGCTTGTGAACTGGGGCCATCTGTCGGTGCGCAGGCGCACAGGAACGCCCACGTCACGGAAGTAGTGGCGGAACTTGCTGATGGTGGCGGCAGACGTCATATCATTACCGCACTTGATGACAACCGGCCAACCAGAGAGACGGTCGAGTATGACAGGGAAGGACTTTCCTGACACACAGAAGAAGTCGGCCGACACAGACTCAAAGGGGCAGGTGGGGTTGTCGTCACTCCTGAAGGGTTCCTGCTGTTGGCTGGGTTGTAGAACTTGGCAGGGCTCACACGCATGGACAGCTTTGGAGATGTCAGAGCCGATGCCAGGCCAGAACACAGTCTGTCTTGCACGTCGTTTGGTGGCCTCAGCTCCGCGGTGACTGTCATGAAGGCGAGCCAAGATGTGGGGACGTGAGGCAGCAGGGACAATTACACGTGCTCCGTACAGAACAAGGTCCCCGTCGCAGTAGAGTTCATCGCGGAGTTTCCAATACGGGAGCAGGGTGTTGTGAAGGTCGTAGCGGTTGCTAGGGAATCCGTTCCTCACGCACTCGACGAGGACTACACGGATCACCTCTGCCGTATCTACGAGGTACTCAACAGGTGCCGGAAGCACGGCATCACCCTAAATGCCGACAAGTTTGTTCTGGCCGGCTCTTCAGTGAACTTCTGTGGGTACACCTTCTCAGTCGACCCGGACAAGGGCCACTCTATCACGGATTTCCCCACCCCTGCTAACCTCACCAACTTGAGGGCATTGCCACACGCTACTAACTAGAGAAATAATGTGTATATATAGAGTACATACATGGTATACATACAACATACAGAACCTATAAAGGTCAATAGGTTATACAGTGACTCAGGAGGTTGTTGGTCCTCTACAGAACACCAGTAACTCCAGAGGGAAGTCCTGTACTACTGCATTTGTGTCCACTATAAGGAGAGGGATTTTTGCCCTTTAGGGTCAGAATCTGCACATCAGTAGTTGTCCTGTCTTCCACAATAGAAGTGAGACTTGGTTTTGGTCCATAGGAACATATAAATACAAATGTTATACAATTTTCTTTTAATAACAATTTTATGGATTAACCCCATCCACAACAGTGATTGTGCGATTGTTATTCTGTACAGTGGTCCCTCGATTAACAAACACAATTCGTTCCAGAAGGTCATTCGTTAACCGAAAATTTCGTTAACTGAATCCATTGTTTCAATGGGATATTGGGTAATTGGTTCCAGCTCACCAAAAAGTACATACAAAGTAAAAAAAAATGCAGTAAAGTAAACTTACTTTGAGATGTGCATGTTGAAGGTTCCTGATTAAT